CCCCAAAACCCCAAAACCCCAAAACCCCAAAACCCCTGTGAGAATCAGAATATTGAATTAGAGTAGTTTGTTGTTCAGTTTCAGATTTACTTGGCCTCTTAAGAATCTCTCGTAATTTGGAAAGTTTATCGATGCAGGCCTCTCATTCTGAACTATCTTGTCAAGTCTAGACACAGACCTGTCAAACCTTGAGCTGTCAACAGCAGGAAGCTTCTCCATGCTGGCTTTGTTGTCGAGTTCGACTGCTCTTGCTAGAGACTTCTGTCTTCTATTGAGCAAGAACGAGGTTCCTGGCACTCTGATTTTGTTGTCATAAACTCCATCAGTCTGTTTACTCTTTAACGAATGCATTGGAAACTTCTTTCTGTAATTCTGATATCTTTTGTTTTCTTGAGTTTTCTCATTTCTATTTAGAATGGCCTGACTCCGGTTTATCCCAGGGTCATCACTAGACTTGTCAGGGATCACAATATCAGTCTTTGGCTTCATGTTTAAATGGCTCAGTGAGTAATTCCTTGAATTGTGCATTCGAGTATTGTCTATTGAGTTGGACTTTTGAAAGAAGTTCGGTTTCAGATTTACTTTCTGGAGTGATTTCTCTCTCTCAAGCCTTGACAAACTATCGCCATATTCTCTGTTAGGAGCTGTATCTCTGGACAAGTTCGTGTATGCTTGAAACTTTCAGTCTCTGTGAGAATGCTGAGGACTCATTTTGATACAATTTTGGTCAGGATTTTGACGCTTTATGTCTTTTAACAAGCCATGAAGCTTTTTCGGCTGAGCTCCTGGGATATCATCACTTCTAAGAGCATACATGTTAGTCAATGCTACAAGTTATTCATGAGCTCACCATTCTTAGCTTTATTTTCTAAAATTTGTTTTCTGCGTTTTCTCTGGGAAGACAACTAAATATAAAGTGAGTCCCACTTACATTTACGTCTTTAGAGATTAATGAGTAATTTATGGCTTTTGACTTAAGCTTCTTGGGCTGAGCCCCCACAATGTCGGAAATGTCAAGATTCGATCTCTTAATTTTGGCGTAGTTCTTCATAATATTTCTTCTTGGTTTCTGAGTTTCAATAGTTTTACTATGAAAATGGTGATTTAAGTTTGACTAGACATACTTAATCATTTCAACTACCAAAGTAAATAGAATTATGATTTGTGTTGAAGAAGTTATTAATAGTGAGCTTACCCTCTCCTTCCTGGCTGAATCAAGTCAGCAAGAGAGTGAGGTCCTAAGAAACTTTTCTTTGCTTTCTCCATCATTTGTAATGCTCAATTTATTCTAATAATTTTGGGGTTTTGGGGTTTTGGGGTTTTGGGGTTTTGGGG